TGAAACAGTTAATTTGCAAAAACCTAATTAAGAAATACAAATATTACCGCCACAAATTTGCACTTACAGAACACAAAAAGAACAGAGTTTCAAGTGCACATGCAAATGTAGCAAGTTGATTTACTGCCGATTGTCTTCGGTGTGGTGATGTTCTTTTTGCGAACTACTACGAGTAATTACCGCGGACCAAATATGGCGGCCGAGTTAATTATCTTTAGAGGGGGTTTTGTTATAAATATTTAAAGAGCTAAGTGTTTGTTTCTATTGGTACTACATCTGTATAATATACCGAACACTTCTGTATACTGTACTGAAGCACATAAACTACTTGACCCGCGCAGCTTTGTCTGCATCTTACAAAAGGAATAATTTTTCTCCGTCTTTGCAACATTTCTTGTTTTATAGCTTGTATACAGCCTTCCTCGATAAATGGGCTATGCAACACTAAAAGATTTTTTCAAATCGATTTAGTGGTTCTTGAGATTAGCAAACAAACTCTTTAGATTAAAAGATAAGTAAACAAACATCACTTTGTTTTGTTAAAGATGCAGGTATGCGATCCTGATCATCTCGAGTTATTGCCTATTGTCCCAATCTATTCGAGTAATAATCCTTTCCCTTCCGTTTACTGCCCTCATTACTAATTTGTGCCTTTTAATACTCTAACAAATTTGATAATAAAATTATATGAAACTACAAAAACAATTGTTTTATTTTACTGAACCTATTTTTGAATGCTCTTGAGATTATTTTCTAAATGAATCTGGAATCCACCGAATGAAAATAATGTTAAAATGATTGTTATCTTATTGGTTTAATGTAAAGACTATTATTTAAGTAGTAATCAATGGAAATTAAGTTTAATATTAATTGAGAAAGTTACAGCGCGCCTGTCAAAAGTTACATAGCTAAGTAGATATATAAGAGAGTGCTATTAGTTTGAAAAAAAATAATGATCAGTAAATGAAAAAAAAAACAGCAACATATAAGCTGTACCTATGTATTTTTCTAGGCTTTGGAAGAAAAAATCATTGCCCATTTTATGACGCCAGACACCATGGACTATATATATTTTAAATAATTCACTTTTAAATCAATCCGTTGTTATAATATGCATGAACATTTTAAATTTTGCATGTCAGAACGGACTGACGAAATTTGTGATTCTTTTATAATAACTGTTAACAACCTATGTACCATATTTCTGCAAGTAAAGCAACATTTCATTTCATTTCAAATAGTATCAAAGACTTCAAACCGCCTACATCACCATGACTTGTAATAAACTTCTTTCTTTAATTTTGCAGTCTTATGCGTGATATTATTTGTTCAAATATGATTGGGACTAAATGGACTTAAGAAAAGAAAAAGAAATATACTCCGGAATAGCCCACTGTGAGTTCTGACGTAGCAGTTAAAAACTATCGAATTGAGATCTGCTTATTTTTTTTGAGTCGGTTAAAAAAAGCAATATCTCGGATCTTTTAGCCAAAATACTGTCTGATGAGAGTATTTTAGCATGATTGCTATTTTATTTTAGAGATACAAATGTTAAGATATCGAGAGTTAAAAGTTAAATATATTCCGAAGCGCACGCATTGGCTCGACACAGAGATAAATCTAGTCGAACATGGATTCTGCCACCTTCTCAAGTATCAGAACAGCGCGCTTCTCATTTGTTCCCAGGGACTATTAGTTACAGAACGTTTAAAATTACCCGCCTTTATTTGTTTATTTTTCAAAACTTTTAGCTGTTTGATTGTTTTTTTGTTTCTTTGTTTGTATTTGTATAATATTATCAAGACCAGTTTTCTCACTCATGTGTGGTAATGACATTGATACATCTACAACCTTTACATCTGTAGGTAGTGAATGTCATCGTGTGTTCGAATCTGATCGAATCGACTATATCTGTGCAATTACCGAGTAAGTGTTGCGTGTCACAGATAGGTAGGTACGTGACGCTGACAGTCGAGCGATTATAATCTCATAGTCATATTACATGCAATAGCAGTTTTGCTTTATCTCTCAATCTCTGTCAAAATCAGTAAAGATAAAAAAAGTTTTCGAGACAAGTTTCAAATTTTTTTTATATATAGGCTCAACCTAAGCATATCATGCACTGGATTCTAGAGCAAGGACAACTATACCTAATTTTGCAGATATATACATATGTATCAAACACACCGAAACAGCAAATAAATATAATTATTCATTCATTCAAATATTTATTATTAAGACGGAATGAGACCTATTAAATTGTCGAATAGCGTTCCAAGTAGGGTTCGGATTGACATTTCTGATTTTGGTAATTTTAAAATATTTGGAGATCAGATACCTTTTTATTTCAGTTTTTTTACTTTGATAACTGTTAACGTAAATCAAATATAGATAACCTTACCATATTGAGAAATAAACCTAGATATCAAAAACTGAAATAAATTATTTAACTTTTTTAACCGGTAACGAATCCAACAGTGTAACCCCTTAAGGTTTAAGTTAAGTATATACGTACTGCATTGCACCTACATTAAGATGAATAAACTACTCGTATATTCTACATTCTTTAGTTTTTAACCCTTAGTGCTAATTTTAAACAAACGGGAAACATGACCTACTACCTAAAAAAAATATTTTGCAAATCGGTTCATTAATGATAGAGTTCGGAAGCGAAAACATCTGGAAAATATTGAGAACCTTTTTTAGAAGTGAGAGGAATAACTGAACTTGTTGAAAAAATGTACATTAACGTTGGCGAAGTCAAAGTCAAAAGCGAGCGGTTTTTACGTCACATATTACAAATGTAGCCGATGCGTTGTCGGTGCCTTGAGTCCTATACATCATTGTGACCAAGGCATTGATCTTTTATGTCGTCCACATAGTTGCAAGTAGCTATAAATATCTCTCTTTGAATAAACTTTGGTAAATCTATTTATATAAATGTTAAGTTAGTTTGTGTACGCTTTTAAAAACCCAAAAAGTTCTAAACCGATTGAGCTCAAATTTTAACACGATATATTATTTTTATATATTTTTCGTTTCAATTTTGTTCCTCATTTCACATCAATGCAATTTCAATGTGCCACAGATAGCGCATAATTTATTTGAGTTTTCTTGCTTTTATCAACTGTGTTGCGATGTGTAATTATGTCGCAAAGAAAGGACTCGGTTAAATCACTAACAATCATGATATATTAAGTTACTTTGAAACGAATTAAGAAAACCACAAGTGAGAAGTCAAATCTAGTGTAAGGTTTGCTTTTTTTTAATAGGGAATATGCACGTGACACCTAAATGGACAAAATATTTTTATTTGTAATTTTTATTGCTAAAAAAAGATACCCATACAATTATTTTTGAAATTTATTATAATTTAATAGTGAAATTTAATCATCAAAAATTGGCTTTTTTAAGATTCTAAAACGCAACGCTATTGGTTGAATAAAAAGTTGTGTGTATTTATAATATTTGGTTTCTGGTGATTATTTGTTTCATTTTAAGTAATAACTAATACGTTTTCAGTGTTAAATTATTAAATTCCCGTGTAGAAAGACTCAACACAATGACTGAATATACTTTGTCAGGTGCAGTTTTGATATTATTTGGGCACAAAGGAACGGCACAATATTTATAATAAGTTTTTATAGGCTTTTCCATGGTAATAAGTTAATTTTTATCACTGACTTTTTTAACTTTCACAAACTTTGTGAACTTTACTCCGTTGTTGACATCGAATTCGTCTGAAAGTGTAATCTGACGTCATAAAAAAAGCGCGCCAAAATGGACGTGTTCAAATTGCCCCAAAATGATAGTGATTTTAATAAAAAAAAAATCGCTTAACGGTTTATATTTCGGATGTGTTATATTTATTTTTGGTAATGTAATAACTAGTAGAATCGTTTAAAAAAATAAAAAAAATACATGCATATTCCCTATTATAGGAGTAAATTTAGCCGAACTAGCAAGCGCTCTACCTCTATTGAAGATTAAGGCGACCTCTGTCATTGATAAATTTTCCAATATTAGGAAAAAAGTAGACTGTAGGTGAACTGCGCCTATGTAATACTAAACAAGAACATAATACTAAACAAATAATATCCGATGCCCACTACAACAATAAATAAACATTGCTTGTTTGGACCAAACACCGGCGTACCGATCGTATGGTTTCCTTCGCAAATAACATTGATTGTAATTATTATTTGTGATCGTTAAAACCACGCTCAATAGAAATTTGTATTAGTTTTCCAGCAGTATTGTATGGTGACTTAGTTCAAAATGACATCTTATGTATTTGTAGTGAGTATAGCGGCAGTGATTATAAGTAAGTTTTTTATTGAAACGAAGTTCCTTATCGCGCGTTACACGATCAAAGGGGATGGGAGGAGACTGAAAAACAGGACTTTTTGCCAATACTTCTTGATATAGTTATTTCATCTAACTGAACTGTATTTTTAATTAGTTTGTCCTTATTTCCAGGGATGGTGTACACATATTCGTATTATTGCGACGTTTCAAACACAGGGACGATAAACGAAGGAAATTTGGGACAGACTGGTACATTCGTCTGGCTCGGAGTATTGAGAGTGGTCCTGTGTAAGACTATTGCGTTTAAAATTTGTTTTACTTATAAATTGCTGCTAACCTAACTATCCTGATCAAACAGCTTTCCTTAAATAAAAATACTAATAAACACACGGTCGTCTGATCCTAAACTACCTGCACGAAGCTAACCGGACTGCTGATTAATATACATATATACTTCTAAACACACATATACTATAAATAAATTACACCCAGACATAAAACAAATGATCGTGTTCATCACACAATTATTACTCCTGGGGGGGAATCGAACCCACGATCTTTGGCTTAGCAGTCAAGGTCACTAACCACTAGACCAACAGTAGACGCCCAAAGTGCATAGCAAACCTGAAGGGGTATCATCTACTCTTTTTTGATTTCCTTAAAGACAATCTTTTAAGTGGTGTTTGACTCCAATGTTTCTTGAATTTCTTATCTTTCTGACCATAGATAACAGGGATACATTGCCAGAAATAGCGGTGACGGGCGTGGTGCTCGTAAAGAAGGACTACGCCCTGGTCAATGCACATGACGTCTCCAAGATACCGTTGACTATGCTGAAGTAAGTACACAGCTTATAATATATTTGTTATTATAGAAATAATAATTATAGAACGTCTAGAAACGTCCATGTGGTCACGGATTAAGAATACGGAGTGTCACTACCGCTATTCATCCCGTGGGTGTTGTAAGAGCCGACTAAGGGAGTAAATTACGTAGGACAACAGCACTGCAAAAAGAAGGAAAACTTGACACAAACCAACCCGTCTGGCCAGCGTGGTATAGTAGGCCAAAACCTTATTTCTAAGGAGAGGCCTATGTTCAGCAATGGAATATTAAAGGCTGTTGATGATGATGATAATGATGATAGATGTGAAGAAAAAGTGACTACGTAGTATAACCTTTTTTTAAATGGGGTTTATCATAATATATATAAGTATTTTGGTAATATTCCAGAGAGCATGGTCGCGTCCAGTTTTACGCTACGGCCGACGTGCCGTGGTTCTGCAAGCCCAAGTCCTACACTGCCCATCCTGAGTACGGTCCGATTACTTTTAACACCGTGGCTCTCCTAGAGTTAGATATAATGAATACTGAAGAGCCATGTGAGTAACTGCACTATACTTTGTTAGTATTGTGGAACTTCAGTTTTTATAGTCGGCCAAGATTTAAAACATGTTTTTAGATAAATAGGACTACCCATTTTATATCTATATATAAAACTGTTATGTTGGTTTGTGTACGCTTCAAAAACTTAATAAGGACTGCACAGATTGAACTAAAATTTTGACGCGATACACAACCCGTTACAAAGATAGTTTTTATCTATTTTTCGCGTCAGTTTTGGTCCTCACTTCACATCGAAGTGCCATCGCGAATACACATGAGCAGATGGATCACCCGTTGGTAAGTGACTACCGCCGACCACTGATTCCAGAGTAATACAAGTCAAATCCAAACTCAAATATATTTATTTCACAAAAACAAAATGATTGAAATTGTCTTTTATGTAGTCAACAACACAATAGCAACAATATCTGTTTTGTTAAATATTAAACAATATCAATATATAATAAAATAAATAAATATAATAAAAATTATACCTATCGAAAATCTATTGTTCGCCTGTGCCGATCTACAACCGCCCGTTTCGAAGTGGTTAAGCCTAATGAGAAGAAACGGCAAACAAACTTACAGCCACTCTTTTTTAATTAACAGATAAATACAATGGCATCATTTAATATACCACAACATTAAGATGTGTGTCAGTATGTCGTTCATTAAGGACTAAAAGCTGAAAAGGCAATGAATAGAAATGAAAGTGAAGTAAAACATAAAAAATGGACAAAATAAATAAAAAACACTGGCCCACACTACATTTCCACTTAAGAAATAGCCCGTGCTAAGTTAATCCCAAGCATTCTTGTCTTCTATGTAATCCACAATTGAGTAATAGGCTTTCTGAGATACTTTACGATTTATTCCGGTCAGCAGCAAAGTTAAAAACTTACTTATCTTGGGGACCATGGATTCAAGAGATTATTTTTGCATTACATTTTAATTATCATAATCTATGCAAAAGCCCTGGTGTACAAATTATCATGTATAATCTACCTATCTTTATTGATAATAAAAAACTTTATTACATATCAAATGAATCATGCGTATAAGAAAATGACTCATTATAATAATAGATTACCCAAACATGAGTCATCGCAACGTATATTTAAAATATAAATTGTTGCGTTTAAGTCTCCTTATAAATACAAGACGGATTAAGAATACAGAGTGTCACCACAACTATACATCCCGTGGGTGTCGTAAGAGGCGACTAAGGGAGTTAACTAGGCTGGACAACAGCACTGCAAAGAGCAGGAAAACTTGAAACAAATTCTATACCAACCCGTCTGGCTTGCGTGGTATAGTAGGCCAAAACCTCCTTTCTGAGGAGAGGCCTATGTCCAGCAGTGGACTAGTAAAGGCTGTTGATGATGATGAATAAAAGATCTTGATTTACGTCTAACATAAAAATGCACAAAAAAGATCGTGGTTATCACATAATTATTTTTCCTGCATGGAATCGAACCCACGACTTACGGCTTAGCAGTCTGGGTCACTAACCACTAGACCAACAGATATTGATCTAAAAAAATTCTGTGTGTAGATCCATTAAAGCCGATATGTTGGACAAGTCAACCATTAAATGCGTCCACGTTCCTTTATGCTGCCGGATACACCGATGGTAAGTTAATATAATGGTAGCAGTACTATTATCTCATCAGAAAGTACGTACCACTAAGGGGGAGTATCTGTAATTTTACGTTACATTGCAAATAACATTCATTGATTTCGATTCAAATGAATTGGATCATTTTTTCTTACTATACTAACACTAATTAATAAAGTGAGTGTTATTCTGTTGCAATAAAATCAGTTTGACGATATCGTCTAATAAGCCCGCTTACTCTGCGTGATTAAATTTCACTATTGCGGTCGACAAAAATACCGTTCATCTTGTCTACCGTAAAAGTGAGTGTTATTCATGTTGATAAAGAATAAAGGGCCTGTCGCGTCAGTTTGAGGCACTGCACTGTCTGCCATACTCCTTGATAAAGGGGTGAAGGAGTCAGTTGGGCATCCCCGTTTACCCCTTATAAGTATGTTTATTTTACATTTCACACTAAACATATATTGAAAAAAATCTTATGTTACATTCCAGAATCCCGATGAAACATTCTGATGACATAATGTAACTATTTATTTACAGAGAACAGGCTTCTCGAGAAGGTGATACATAAATTACAGTACACAGATAATACTTCTTGTTCTGAATTTTATCACAGAGCAAAGGTGAGTTGTTTATTAAAATTCTTTGAACGTATCATGGAGTCGCCTGAAAATAAACGACGATAAAATGTAACAGTCACTACTGTCGTTAGAAAACGTTGAGTACGTGTGGATGTGCACGTATGTACTGTGTACGTTACTAAGTGTGAGTCCTTATATGTTGATCTGGCTCCTGAGTTGCAAGCATTTATGCGCGGCGGTAGTTGCTTTCTATCAGGTGACCCGTCTGCTCGTTGTAAAAGGTATTTTCGTAGGAAAGTATTAAACATCTTACGTAGAATGTAATGTAATTATATCGTATTTTAACGCTTTTAACGCTCGCTATTCTTAGTGAAACTTTACTATTTTACTACTAAAATACCTTTTATAACAGTTGTGAGATCGAAAGTTCATCATCACATCAACAGCCTTTAATAGTCCACTGCTGGACATAGGCCTCACTTTAGAAAGGAGGTTTTTGGCCTACTATACCACGCTGGCCAGACGGGTTGGTAAGTCGGATCGAAAGTTGATCAGAATTATTTTATGACCGTATTTCTGTTATGATACGCAATTCAACAAGGACAGCTCAATGTAAACTGGCCAGTGCAAATGCAATTACCATGAATGATGATCGAAATTCGTTATTTATTAATCAATATCACAAAAAATTCGTACAATATTTAAAATAAATTAAACAAGCAATGAATTCGTTTTAAATCTTTATTTAATTGTTAGTGAAAGTATTTCTCTTAGTTTGTTATAATTAATTATGTTGATCTGATTGCAGCTTAGTGACAAGACGAGGGAGCCGGTCTACTACCTCTGTGGCCACGCGGTATCAAGCAAATCTCATTGCGTATGGGATAACGGCATGGTCCTCATTTCCAACGCCACCCAGTACTTTACATTGGTACGTGTTACGCTCAGTGAAAGGCAGATTTCATACAGGATAGGGTGTGTAAAGTAAATACAGAGTTCTTAAATGTATACGTATACGATTTTAAATTCAGGTAGGATGCAAAATCGTATGTGAAATGAGACTGCGAATTTTCGAATGTTGACTGTAAATATTCAGAAAATCAAACTGTGTTAGCACCGTATTTAACTTCACAGCTGATTAAAATGTTATTCAATAAACAGTATTTGAAGCAAAATTTATTCAGCGTTTTGACTGTGTAAATGCATTTGTAGTATAAACCATAACCAGTGATAACATCATTTTTGAGGTTTGATGTTTTTTGTTGATGCCTGGCGGGCGGGAGGTTCAGAACTCTCCCGGCCAATAGGAGTCGTACATCAGTGAAAAACGTTACAAAATCGGGGGAAATTTATTCCTTTTAAGAGACACCGAGGAAGTAACGCGATTTAGCTAGTGATATAATAAAATACTTTAGGGTTACTTATGTTAAGTGTACACAAATGTGATTACAGGTTTATGTTGTATTGTATGTTCATAGCTTGGATTCGGAATCCGTGGTCCTGGCTGCGCGGCACCAGCTCGCTTCATCAACCTGCAGTACTACTACGAATGGGTGCAGGAAGTGACCACCGAAGTAGATCATTATGACGACTACCGCAGAGACGGTGGATTTGAGGAAGTTCCCTTACACGAACTCTTTAAGTATGTGTCTAGGCTTAAGCGCCCACCTCGCCGCTTTCTACTGCGCTGAGCGTTGTGTGTTCGATCCCTACATGAGACAGCACAGCACAAATTATTATTCTGAGTCTGGGTGTTCTTTGTGTCCGTCTCACGACTGTTTGTACATCTCCCCGCGACACCATATATATTCGTAGTAAGGGAGTTATAAATAAAAAGGTCATAGCTATGAGCTAAGTGGTAGTAGTAAGTTAGACGGCACGTAGGCGTGAGGTCCACGATTCAATTCACCTTAACAACACACATCATCACGTAAATAGTCTGGATATGTGCATGGGTACGGACCGTCTGGATACGGGACGGTTTTAGGTCACGGGACGAGGTAACCAGAGCTTGTACTATGAAAATTAGATTGACAGATAGAACACTTATATACACTCATAGAACACTTAAACCAACATTTGGCCGGTTCGGGAATCGAATCCTATGACCTCAGCACAATAGTCGCTACCACTGAGGCAGTGGAATTGAAGTTTTATTATTGTTTTAAGGTTAAAACCTGCTTGATGGATTTAGGTCACCGCGTCTCTGTCGGTCCGTACGTCCGTCCCGGGTGGCAACGGCCCTCAGGAACGGAACGGGCCTATATAATTATATTGCATTTAAAGATGTCCTATAGTACATTCTTATCAGCGTCTAACAAAAAGTGAAAGAAACTTCGTTCCGACCGGGAATACACCTCACGCCGTTTCTCATTTCAGCGCACAATCGGGGCTTCGAGAAGGCGATGAAAACCGAAGATCAAGCGTCAACAAGTCTATCCCAATTAAACATCATTACTACTCATTCGACACAGACTTACCTTTGTACTTCAACGTAGAACCAACGGACGCTGATACTATTGCTGTTTTTCCATGTAAGTTTCTTTTTTAACTGTACGTAGAAAATTAGTTCTCGCCGCTCGCGCTGTTTGCTCTAATTATGAATAAGTAGGTAGGTGCGTATGTCACTGAACTCCTTCTAGACCGCTGAACAGATTTTAATAACTTTATTGTATGTGTTTAAGTGGGTACTTAAATTAATATATACTCGTATTATGCTGACCTTCAATAGAAATTTTGACACTCAAAAAATACATACAGCCAAACATAGTATGGAAGTCAGCTAAAAATCATTATAGTACCATCCAACACAATTGTGAATATTAGTGCACGAATGTGTCTTGTGTGAACGAAGTGACTTAATCACCTACTGCTGCGTCTAAATAATGATAAATTGTGATGAGCTACGTATTAAACGCGGACCAGGGGGCATGATCGCCTTACCTGATCGGAGGAGAGAGGATCCTCCTTGTGTTGGAGAGACACAATGCCAGGTTCGTAACAAACTCTTCAATTTTTTGTATTTCGCAAATGTATTACTGAATTGTCCGTGTGATAACTATTCATCCCGTGGATGTGCGAAGGACAACAGCACCTCAAAAAGGAGGAAAACTTGACACAAACCCTATATCAACCCGTCTAGTCAGCGTTGTATACTCGTAGTAGAACAAAACCTACTTTCTAAGGAGAGGCCTACGTCCATTTGTGGATAGTTACTACTTAAATTTCCTCCATAAAAGGTAGAATGTTTTCTGATAAACTCAAATGGGACTAGTTGCGAACAACTAATTAATAAAGAAAGAATTATTAAAGCAGTTTACAAATGGCGAAAACATCACGTAAAAAGCATACAAAAAAAAACAAACATAAACTGAAAAGCTCCTCCATTTTGTAATCGATAAAAACTTTACTTTTACTACCGTAATATGATAACTTAGTATACTCACAATAATGTTGTGAAAATTAATTTGTACTCTTTTTTAATAGCTAATAACACCCAATCCACCAAAAGGTATGTAAAAACATATATTTATATACAATTGCATGTATCTTGCATGTATAACAACATCTATTATAATTGTCTGATCTATATTCTGATAAAACGTCCATCCTGCAGCAAATGCACCAAAAAATCTACATAATTTTGTGTACCTTGGCTTCAATAATTTATTTGGAGAAGTAAGATCAAAGGGAACGTTTCAGATATGTTTTAGAATACGAGCAAACGAGTCACTTGATGATGAGCCACTAACGCCGCTCATGATCAAGTCAAGTTTTGGGGCCGACCTCGAAAACCTTACTTCCTCTGTCAAAAACAACGAAAAATTGCTGCACACCAGTTTTATGTGAGGCCATGGTGTCAACCGGAGTGGTCAAGCTGTCCAATAAGTGCTGAACTATGGCCCTCGGTTAAATAATGTTCCCATTGTCAGCGTTATACAAATTACCATAACCTTGAATGTCTATTGTGACTGGACTAATACGTCGTCATTTCTTTTTCATGCCAAGTGTACATGTGAGCTGGTGATGATTAATGTCTTCCTTTCAGTTAACGAAACTTGGGAGTCATTCGATAAAGCCTGCAACTCTTGGAGAACTTTAATGTATCGCGAATTCTTCGAGCTGAAGGCTGAGGGACGCATTGGTAATGCCGTGTTCAAGGTCAGGAGACACCTTATCATTATTTAGAAAACCAGTCGGTTATGACCCTCAAACATTTCTACCAAGCGCTTAGGCATGACCACTCTATAACTGTACGCTGATTAAAGGGGTGGAATTTATTTTAAATGCTTAAGATTCAGGCGCATGGCATTATTATAAAATCTACCTTCTTGTTTATTTATTATATTTTGGTGTACCTTGTGTACGAGTATAAGTTAGGTACTTGTTTAAACAAAAATAAAACCCTTATAATTTGTAGCCTACGTTATAATATGTATGCCTTTAATAAATAGATGCTGCATTGTATCATCTTTGAGAAAACATTAGTTTGTTGATTGCGCTAGTATCTTGTTTTTTCTGATGGGTAGGAAAATCTCTTTTTCGAGGTGAATGGAAAAATAAAAATTCCGGGTGGTTCTACGTCTTCCAGGGGACGCCTGGTGGTGATGAACAAAAAATCACCCCGACAGCCTGCCTCAATTTTTTTAAGATTTCATGGTCTTGATGCGATCAGGCCGCCACCACTATCTCCTACCTACCGCTATAATTTAAATATTAACATTTAATTTAATAAACTTAATGTTAGTAATATCGCATGTCACTGTCATATTTCTTAACGGCCGTTTTGATATAAATTGGTCAAGTTATAATTTATAGAAAGTTAGTCTTCATGCAGAACTAACGTCATGTTTTCAAATTCCAGATATCACTTTATGACCTGCTTATTCATAAGTGCACATGCATCAAAATCAATGTGAGTATATCTGTTATTAATACAAGTGACAATATTGTTGCAAATTAGAAGACAACTACTGATATTGCACTCCCACTCTTGACCTAGTAACTAAAACAAAAAATAAAATTTTGACCTTCCAAATTTTTCTTCGATAATGGTAATAACCATAACATAATTTCCAGATGAACGTGCAGGAGCACTCTAGCGCCATATTATCGATAAAAGAACGGATAGACCTTGTGGAAGGAGAAGCTATTACCTCATCTGAAGAAATGGTTCCAAATCTCATGAAGCATTACCCCTTTAAAGATCTGTATCCTTCCCCCGCCAAAAGCGAGCACGGAAAATGGGTACCGGGCAAACTTTTAAAACCAACATTCTTGAAGGAGTTTTTCGACCCACTAAATGTTACAAATTACAATCTATACATAACGTTCACGATAAAAGATAAGGCGACCATGAAGTTTGAAGTTTATGGTGAGCCGTATGGGCCTGAAGACCCCAACCTTACAACAAAACCTCCTGGGAGACTTCTAAGATTCGGCTCAGAAGAGGAAAGCGCAGAGTATCAAACCCAGAAACCTATTAAGAAAGCCAAAGTTCAATTTCATCAGGGATTTCGAAATTTACTTCCCGATGCACCGATGTTTAAGTCAGGGTTCGTAAAAGAAGTTTATGATTCTGACGGTCATTCTCTTTATGGTGTTATAAATCGCAAAACTAGAGCAACTACTACTGTTAGAACCACAACATCACCAAAGTACTTTCGGCCTCTAAGCTCTGTCGTCATTAGACCTAAACCTAAAACTTTAACCCCACAGTGGTATCCTAAAATTCGAATTGTTGGTGATAGAAAAATATTGACATCTTCTAAAAGGAAAACTACCAAGTCTGTTCCTGTAAGTAAACGTCGTAAATATGACAAAGTCCATATGCTTACACGAGCTTTCACCACAAGTACGCTCTACCCAGCTGCTCATGTTAAAACCGTGATGGAGGCATCAGGGGCTCCAAGTACTGTTGTTGTTTTTCGAGTGACTTTAGTGAAAATTATTTCTTTTCATATTCTTATGCTATTATTAAATTCTTAGTTTTCTGATACGTATATTACACACATTTTGATGATGTACTTTTATTATTCACATGCATAAAGAATTTCCCTTTACACAATTTAGTTGTACACATAGTAGTTTGTAATTTTGTGACTAAATTACTGAATTATATTATATAATTATATTCAAATTAAGATGTCCATGGTTGCCGGTAGTCGCTTACCATCAGGTGATCCGTCTCCTCGTTCGCGTGGAGCGAAGTGGGTATACCAGAAAAACAAATTAAAAGTCAGTAAAATTGATTTTCCATATTGTTAGCTTCTCAAAACATCTAATTTGTAGAGTAGAGTCTAATATTATGGAAATGTATCGTTATCGTACCAATCATTCACGCAGTTTGGTATTAGCAGGTAAATTAAAGGTAAATTTAAATATACGACTGAGAGTATATTTGAATGAATGTCTCGTATAAGTCATCGCCTTAAGATGGCTATATGTAAAAATGCCCGCGGGCAATGAAATATTGTTGCAAAGTGATTTCGCGGTAAGGTCAGTAGATTTGCAATTTTTTGACATTTACAGAAGTTATAAGAATTTAGACGCAGTGTCATTTGAAAGATACTGTATTTCATTACATTAAATTACAAAGCTTGAAGAACCTTTTAAGATTAACAAATAACGGCATCAAAATAGTTAACCTTCCGCGCTGGTGACTTGTATAAGTCACTTGCCAGGAGTGCATCAATAGCAATATTCGAAAAATAGAGGCTTAAATCTACTGCTTACTTCCGATGTTTTTTATGACACGCCTCTCCGCAAACTTGCAGATCTTCAGCCTCACTATCAGGTTACCCACCTGATAATAAGTGACTACCGCCTCCCATGGACACTGCATCTCATACAGCTAAAGAGTTACAAGTGCGTTGCCTCTTTTTGAGTCCCCCCTCCCCGCTGAATCACGGGGAGAAGGTTTAGCTAAAAAAAGGGAAAGGGAGGACTCCGATACTCTCACTCGATGAAAAATAACTGAAGATTTGTTCAAGAATTGCTAATCTCTCTATTTACAAAAAAACCTGAGTTTTCGACAGTCCGAGGACTAATTCCAAGTTAACGATCATACAATCAAGCACACCTACAGATAACAAATACTGTGATAGAATTAATAAGTTGTTGAGTAATTTTGTCCACTCAGTCATTAAATGTAATACACCGTCCATACCGAGAATGACACACGTACATAATATCTCATGCAAATCGTTAACGATACTGTACTTTTTGTTTTTTCTTGTACACTGCGCAGGTGCTAATTATATTATGAAGACTAACAGGTGTGTTACAGCAATGTATAGCCGCGGGATCTGTCGACGCATTATGTTGATTAATCAATAATGGGAGGCTTACGTGAATTGTGAATATGTTTTCTTCTGTATATACGTATTGAAAATTTGAAGTAGTTAAAAATGCACGCAAAGGTGGATGTTTTCAAAAATTTGTGATTTGACTACCTAGCTCCTCGGTTAAGGCCGGGTAGATCAAATTATTAGTTTAAAAATGCTAGATTACAACAAGTATCTGACCAACCCTATTTAGCTACGAGTAGAATATATGTAAACGAAAATTTACAACAAAGAACATTTACACAGTTCAAGGTTCAAAATAATTATACCTTATACGAGATTTACATGAACATCAGATTCAGACAGTGGAAATTATCACATTTAATAGATTTTCTTGATTCTTGAAGCATACCTACCATAGCATACATACGCTACCTTGAATAATTTCAAGATTTTGTTTAAGTCTTAGAAAGAGCATACGACTCCAGGCGAGGCCAATGACATTAGAGTGTACGACTGTATAAAAAATCATAATTTATATAAATTATTAGTGTTCGTCATTTCCAAAAGTTGTCTACTACAAAAACTTGTCAGCAGCTGCAGCTGTTATAACCAGGAATGTTCCAAGAAATGCAATCAGTTACAAATAAGCTCGCGTGTGAACTGAAGCCTGCGCAGGCACATATTATGTATCCACATTTTGGAAACTGGTTCCCTGTTTTTGGATGATGTTCTTGTAATGATGAGATGAGGAATTTGCAGGATGTGTTCAATCATGGTGCAAGAATGCTTCAACCAATCATAATATTACAAGCATCGTTTTGAATAAACCCAAAAAACATACCTAACAGACACACATTTTTTTTCAGGAAAGGATAGTCAGAGGTGTATGAGACGCTAACATTTTGACAAACGTAATTTTAGATCAATTTACGTAACCAAACCAATGTATTACGATAATTAAAACAATGGCAGTTAACTGAGCACTTTAGAATTTAGATAGGAAAGTTGGGAACGTAGAGGAAGCAAAGGTAGATATGCTGTTGGAGAGATGCTTCGGCATACTTCGGCCAGCTCGACCAGAGTGATGCTACTGCCTCATGGAAAATAAATTATAAGCCAAACGATTCGTTGCTTTTCACCGAGTGAGTTAAATAACCAAAGCGCAACCGCCCCCTCTTCACCCCCAGATTCGAGGGGAAGGGAAGAGGCATCGCAAAAGGGCAACAACGCTCTTTTAACTCTTGAGTTGCAAGTGTCCATAGGCGCCGGTAGTCACTTACTATCAGGTAACCCGTGTGTTTGTTTACCCCAGTATCATAAAAAAAGATTAGTCAGAATTTCAGCCATTAAATTTTTTGAGAGTATTTTCTTTCCAACAGTCCCCTGTCCCTAAGAAGAATAGGTAGTAGTAGGAAAGAGAGATTGCTTACATGGATAAACAGGGTCATGTCAGGTTTGCATATCTGTAACTCGAACTCACTGTTGCTGAACATTCCAAGTTCACTATCGAAACAAGGCTTATGTTCCTAAAAATAGTTATCACATAATTCAGCCAAATAATTATCAAATAACGCGAACTTCAAATGTCAATAAAAGCATTTTTTAACGAACCGCTGACTTTAGTAACCTTGTGAATTAATAGTCCTTGTAAATTGGTACCCAGAACAATTAGAACTATCAAACTTAAGTGTTGTGCACCGATCACTTCTATTATGCTTCTAGTAAAGGGGAGAAAGGTAGATCTTGTTATTTTGGTGCTTGGTGTTTGGAAAGCAGATAAGCTTATCAGATTATCTTAAATGATAAGTTTTAAATTTGCTGACAATGAATATACTCTAAGAGATTAATATAGGTTTCAATTTTGAATGGTTCCTTCACTACAGTGTAAAGAGTGAGACACCGACTTGAATGTTTTCCAACTAGAGTCATGTTTTGACACAGAACAAAAATGGCTCTCCAGTTGTTTCTAAACACAAATGTTTTTACTTTTAACTTTGTATTTCTTTGTTAAAAATAAATTCTTAATAACAATACAAATAACAATACAATACAATACTTTTTAATTATTATACTTGGGGTATACTGAAAGCCCCTTGATTTGAAGAATGGAAAAATAATTAAGGGATTTCGAAAATAGAACTCTTTGCAAATATGTTACCTTTTAATTTGCGAGACTGTCATTTATTTTTTCATTGTGACGTCCTTTCGAAAATTGTGTGTCGCTATCAAAATGAATTTAACTCGTGAACATTTTCGTTTAATGTTTTTTTTATAATATGTGTTGTGGCTTAACTCAATAAGAGAGTTGCCTGAGACTTCAATTGGCTTTTGGTGATGAAGCACCATATCGCAGCTCTCTGTATTAATGGTTTGGAGAATTTAGAAGTAGACGTGATCATCTCCATAACGAGGTACGTGAGGGTCGACTGCGGTTACTGACTCTAAATATTGACACCGTAGGACAACTTATTGATACTGACAAAAAAATTACTTGACAGCAAATTCGTGCTTGTTAGGCATTGGAATGTGCCAAGTGCAAAACATTTTACATGTGCACCTGAAGGTTCGAAAGCTTTGCACTCGATGGATAATTTGAAGAGTCAATACACGATATTATAATGATCTACAACATAATACAGGATATAATAACACAAACATTCTTTGGTGAGTCTTATCAAGAAATATAAATATGTTGTTCTAATCCTAAATTTGATAAACATGGATTACAACGTTATTTAGTTTCTACTGGCTGACGAACAAACACAATAAGCATTGTGCGTATCTTTAAAAAAAAGTTATTCACTGTGACTTTGAAACACCTAAACACTTGCTTACGCTAGTGTTGGTTTTTCAAATTTCACTGTTTGCAACTTTTCTTTGCCATGTTATCTCAGCTATATTTTAATATCGTTCTACCATCTTAATTTTAGACGTCCTTTCTTTGTTCTCCCATCTCAAAATGTTATATCGTTGAGAGCCATTCTTCGGAATAAACGGCCTGGCAAATGATACCACGGCCTGACATAAAACCGGTGTTAAGCTACTCTTTTGTTGCTGCAACTGTGCACTTGTAACTCTTCAGTTACAGGTGTCCATAGGCGCCAGTAGTCACTCACTATCAGGTAACCCGTGTGTTTGTTTACCCCAGTACCATAAAAAAGATTAGTCAGAATTCCAGCAATTAAATTTATTTGAGACTATTTTTTTCGAACACTTTATAGACAGTCTCGTTACACAGTAAACAACGTGTTATTGTAACACAGAGTCGTCAATCTTACACTATGTCATCTTTATCAGCGCTTCAAACACCACACAAATCTTCAGAGCAGCATCCATCAGTATTGTTCACACTTCGAACAACTTGTCCGACAATTTCGAAACGACTCTTATTGCTCATTTAAAAACGAACAATTAGTGACTATTCATATTAGTAGTGTTGTGTAGTAACAATGTTTTTGAACGAAAAGGAAATCATATTTTTATTTTTCTTTGTGACTGTTCTGTTGATGGTGTTGGTGTATCTGACGGTGTGCGATATCATTATCGGCAGATTTATTGTCAGGATATTCCGTGAGTAAATATTTTAGTAAAGTAATATAGTTGTATTTCATATAATCTCCCCCACATTGTCATAATTTATTTAAGACATTTACAAGTGTTACTTATGTAAAAAAGGGCTAAGTTCAGTTGCCCAGACAC